GGCCACTGCACTCCAGTCTGGGCGACAGAGTGAGACTCCAACTCAAAAAAAAAAAATAAAGAAAAATTAGCTGGGCATAGCTGTGCATGCCTGTGGTTCCAGCTACTTAAAAGGCTGAGGTGGAAGGATCACCTGAGCCCAGCAGATGGAGGCTGTGGTGGCCATTAGCATGCCACTGCGTTCCAGCCTGGGTGACAGAGTGAGACTCTGACTAAAATAATAATAATAATAATAAATTTAGCCAAGCATGGTGGCACATGCTTATAGTTCCAGCTACTCAGTAGGCTAAGACAGGAGGATTGCCTGAACCCAGGAGGTTTGGGCTGCAGTGAGCCATGACATGCCATTGCAATCCAGCCTGGGCAACAGAGGGAAACCTTGTATCTTAAAAAAAAAAAAAATTAAATAGGCTGGGCTCGGTGGCTCAGCCTGTAATCCCAGCACTTTGGGAGGCCGTGGTTTCAAGACCCACCTGGGCAACTTGGTGAGACCTCATCTCTACAATAAATCAAAAATTAACTGGGCATGGTAGTGCATGCCTGTAGTTCCGGCTACTTGGAAGGCTGAGGCGGAAGGATCGCCGGAGCCCAGTAGGGCCAGGCTGCGGTGACCGGGAGCGTGCCACTGCACTCCGGTCTGGGCGACAGAGTGAGATTCCAACTCAAAAAAAAAAAAAATTAAATATTAAATAAAAATTTCATATGCTGTTGCTAATCAAAACTAAATAAGCCCTCCCCTTTACCATTCTCCTGGGGTGAAAAAGGGAATGTATATTTATTGGCCAGCTGCCATGGTCTGGCATGACTGTGGTGCTTTTTATACATGTCTTTGTTCATGATCTCCCACTATACTTAGAATAAAGACAAGTTTCCTTAGCATGTCTTGCACGGTCCTTAGCAACCCAGCACTGCCTACCTGTCCAGGTTCATCTTCATGACTATAAGTCTTGCATCCTGTGCTTCAGCTGGTCTTGGTTTCTTTAGGATCTTCAGATGTGCCTTGCTGTCTGTCCCTTCCAAGCTTTCTCGTGTGCTGTTCTCTCTACCTGACTCTGCTCTCTCCCTTGTTCCCCTCATAACTAATTAAGACTTACGGATTAGGCCTTGGTTTAGGTCTCACTTCCTTGAGTGCCTGCCCTGAACTTCTAGAAGATTCACTAAGTCCCGTAAGAATAGAGACTATGTCTCTTTGCTCAGCATTTCATTCCTACCAACTAGTGTATGGCTTAGTGTTATTTGTTGGATGGACAAAAAACCAAGCAACCTTCTCAGGTGGCTAATTGTATCCCCAAGTCACATAGCCAGAAAGAGGCGGATCTCAGAGTTTGAATGGAAGACTGACACCAAAGCCATGTTTTTTCCACTGCACTCAGCCGCTCCATGGTTGTAAGTCATTAAAATACTCTGAGAAGGCCTGGCAGGCAAATTAGGTAATTGAATTGAAACAATACACCTAATTCCATAACTGATCCAATATAGAAACATAATGAAACCAATTTTCCACAAACCTCATCAGGAAAATACTTGCTTTACTGTCTTTTGAAAATTGAGTTATTCTGATTTTAGACTTATAGAAATTAAGATAACTGATAGAGGCAGCCTGCAAATCCAGTGGAGTTTGTGAGATTCTGAAATAAATTACCTTGAGAATACGTATTTCCTAAGGTCAGATTCACTTGTCCCATGGGACCCGCCACCATCTCCGTTTTTTAGCATCTTTGCAAAGACAGGAATCTTTGCCACCCAGAGTAGTTGAGATGTTAGACTATTTTCTGGAAATTGCACAAAATGTTTCTTTGAAGGCTTACAGATGCTACTCCTTTTTTTCCTTTACATTTTCCTTTAATTACCCCTCTCTTGCATTTCAGATCTCTTTTTTTTTTGAGTTGGAGTCTCACTCCGTCGCCCAGACTGGAGTGCAGTGGCCGCTCCCGGCCGCCGCAGCCTCGACCTGCTGGACTCTGGCGATCCTTCCGCCTCAGCCTTCCAAGCAGCTGGAACTACAGGCGCGCGCTGCCACACCTGGCTTCAGATCTCTTTCTCCTTTAAGGAACCATCAGTTTATCTCTTGAGATCTGGTCACAGTCTACCTCTCCAGCCTCATTTTTTGCCCTTTTACCCTCAAAGTCTTGACTCTGTTTACCTAGAAGTACTTGAAATCTCAGAAGTTGGTCCCCACCCTGTGAAACCCTTTGCTTATCCCCATTTCATAGCATCTGTTGTCTTCTTTTGAAATTGTCTGTGGGCCCAGGCATCTCATGTACTTGATGGTAAGCCTTTTTGGGCACTTACTCTCTCGTAAGCACTCATATATTTCAGCATCCCCAGGACCTGACATAGTTCCTGGCACACATTGTGGTTGTGTATTACATTTGAAGGAAAACAAAAACAGTGAGTCTTGGGCCTCAGATCCCCCCAGTGTGAAATCGTAAGTTTGCGGTAGCATCGAGCAGGAAGCAAGGAGAGTGGTTATTTTAACTTTCTCTCTTGCTCTGGACCTGCACAATTTGACTTCTGCATTAGATCCATCTGTTGTGGCACAAATTCCCATTGTGTAGTGCTAGCAGTTTTCCAGCTCTGTTATCTTTGGCTCTTTGAAGCAACACAGAACACAGAGCTACAGTTTCACCTGAATCTCGCAGGATTAACCTCAGAATGTTTAATTTTTAAAAGTTGAATAAAATTCAGTCCATATATTACATAAAATCACACACCCCCAAATTATTTAGAAGGGTTTACCTCACATCACACCAAATGCTTGCTTCAACTGTGTGCCTCATAAGCTTAGAACCTGGAATACATTTCTGACTTCTGTTTCCTTCTGCTTTTTGCTTCCCTGTATATGGTTGAATTTTTTTTTCCAGCATGCTTTTCTAATTTAGGCCTATTTTCCTGAAGTCAGAGCCAGGCTAAATACAGCCATCAGTGAATTTCTCACAGTTGTTCTCCAACTGAGAATTAAGGCAAGAAGTCCTGATACTGTGCTCCCTTCTGCCATGTCTGGAAAGCTTACCTGTGCCCTCCAGCTCTCCGGCACCTAGCTCACTGTTCAGCACATACATTTTTAACAAGTTTTCATATCTCTCTATCAAGATCATTTCCTTTTAAAGAGAAACTAACAAGTACTTTCCCAATCACTGTAGCCTCCTATCACAAGGTTCTCTAAGATATTAAGGAAGATATATATGTACTTCAACATAAGTCAATAAACTAAAATAACATAAGTAGATAAAATAAAAGAATGTAGATACTGATTAAACTCAGAACAGAAACACAGTGAATGACATTTAAATGTTCTTAAAGGGTGTTTAAAAAAATAATTGGAAATTACCTGTGGAGTTAGGCTATTTCATTTTTGCAGGCTTTGACCCATAGACCGTTCCTTGAGATTCTTGAGAAACTTTACATATTTATCTAAAGAATGCGAATGTTTTGCTGGTGTCAACATTGAATGTGTGATCAGTGAGCAAGAACTGAAAAGTCTCTGTTCTAGGCAGGATCGAGAACTTCTTTTTTTCTAATTCCACACAGACACGTCTTCGGCCTCTGAGGATGAGGGCTCTCTGAGACGCCAAGCTGCGCTCTCTGCTGCCTTGCAACAGAGCTTACAGAATGCTGAGTCCTGGATCAACCGTTCAATTCAGGGATCGTCCACCTCTTCATCCGCATCTTCTACGCTGTCCCATGGAGAGGTCAAAGGAACCAGTGGGTCTCTAGCTGATGTATTTGCCAATACTCGAATAGGTAGGAGCTGGATCTACACAAGAAGCCCAAATTATGTTCCATTTGGCTCCCAGTTTCCAGGAAAGAGTTTATGATTTGTATTAGGTGTTTCACTGTGGCCTAAAAAATATAATCAGAGAAAACATGACAGCTAATGAGACAAGGAAACACCAGCAATACATTTGTTACGGGAATGCTAGGTGTCATCTGCATTATTGGTGCATAATATTGCCCACCTGAAGCCATAGCTATTTCCATAAGCAATACTCAAGCTGCAAGATATAACGCCAGTCTTAGTAGGTTTATCCCAGCTAAGAATAGTCCATATACTAAAAAGGTGTTAAAGTATATAACATCTCTGATTTTCTCTGGATTGTGGTCTATGGTTCTGTCAAACAAAAAACATTAAACTTGAGCAAAATGTACGCCAATCCAATGTCAATGAGGCTTTCTGTCTTTAGCATAAAGGCTGGATTTATTGTCCTTGCCGCTGTGGTATTGCTACAACTGGAGTGTGCAGGCTGAGGATGTCTGTTCTCTATGAGCTGCTACCTGCTGCTGATGCTTCTGTATGGAGTATAGCTTCTGCTTGGCCCTGCTTCATGTTTTGTATGTGTGTGTGTTTTAAGAGTTTTGACATCTGCAGATAAAGATGTAGCTCAGGTCTCTGCTTTTGCTTAATTGGTCACTAGAGATTTTACTCGGTAATGTATGTTAACATTATATGTCTGTGATATCTTTCCCTTTTTTCTTGACAGTCAATGCATTTTGGTGTCTTAATTTTGTCTCAGTGACCTGTCTGTGTCACCATATGTATATTTTATTATTCTATTCATTGATTTCTGAAAAAGAAAGACTTGGAAAATTTTCAATGCTAGACTGTAATTTTTAAAGAAAATAGCTATCCTGAGGATGTGATTGCCCTTATTAAAAAGCCAAGTGCCAACAGCTGATACCTTGTCCTGTACTCTCAGCTCTGCCCTGAAATTCACCAAACCTCCTACAGCTCTAAAGCCACAGACTTACCACCTCTCCTGTTGTGGAGGGTGAGCAACAGAGCCATGGGTGGTGAGGTTTCATTTCCACATCACTCTAAAAGAGAGCAATTTCACCTGTTGAGTGTATTGTTCTAATACCCAGTTAATTTTATTTGGAATTATTGGTTTAGTTACTTACAGAGACCATTTTTTCCACATTATTGCTTTTGGATGTTTGATCTAACATAAATAGTTCATGTTCCTAGTAGAAAAATTCAAAAATACAGGTAAAAGAAAAAGCCAGGCGTAGTGGCTCATGCCTGTTATACCAGTAGAGGCAAGAGGATTGCTTGAGCTCTGAGGTTCAAGACCAGCCTGAGCAACATGGTGAGACCTCATCTCTACAATAATCAAAAAATCAGCTGGGCATGGTGGCACATACCTGTGGTTCCAACTACTTGGAAGGCTGAGGCGGAAGGATCACCTCAGCCCAGCAGGTCAAGGTTGTGGTGACCCTGAGCGTGCCACTGCACTCCAGTCTGGGTGACAGAGTGAGACTCCGACTCCAAAAAGAAAAAAGGAAAAACAAAACAACCTATAAGCTTACTTTCCAGGATAACATTTTATTTATTTTATTTTATTTATTTATTTTTTTTTTTGAATTGGAGTCTCACTCTGTCGCCCGGGCTCCGGCGATCCTTCCACCTCAGCCTTCCGAGTAGCCGGAATTACAGGCATGCGCTACCACGCCCGGCTGATTTTTTTATTTATTGTGAGATGAAGTCTCGCTGCCCAGGCGGGTCTCGAACCCACGGGCTCAGGCAGTTCACTCACCTCAGCCTCCCAAAGGCGCGGGATTACAGGCTGAGCCACCAAGCCCGGCTTCAGGATAACATTTTAGTGTTATCACTTTAGTGTGTATTCTTCTAGATTTTATTTACATAAGAGTGTATAGAGTTTTGGTTTTGATTTTGCAAGAATGAAATTGCCCTAAACTTAATGTTAATAACCTACTTTTCTTAACAGGGTATCACAAACATCTTTTATATAAATATAATTATACTTTTATTTTTATGGTTTCAAGGTATGCCATTGTATGACTTTCTACCCTGGTTTATTTAACCATTCCCCTATTTTGAACATTTAATAGTACCCGTTTTTTTTGCCATTATAAAAACTGCTGGAATGAACATATTTGAACACACAACTTTGAGCAGTTGTCTGATTATTTCCTTAGGATGTGCTCCTCTTAGTTGAATTGCTGGGACAAATAAAAATGCCCATTTTGATGCTTTTGTTGCCACATTATCCTACAGCAAGGTATCCTGCAATATGCCGTGCAAGTATATTTAAAACTTCAAAAACTGTAACTAGTAATTATAGACTTTGAGGCATAGAGACCTTATCCCCAGATTGATTTTTTAAATTGTTTATATTATGGCTTTTTCCTTTTTTGTAGTTTTTAGTGGCTTTTTTTATCCTTGTAAATCATGTATTTTCCTCCCTCTAATTTCTTCTCCTCCAGATGTTTTCTTCTAGGTTTTTTATAACACATCCCTGCTGAATGGATCTCTTCAATTTACATCATTCAATTTCTCTAGGTTCAGAATTCCTACCTGTAGTAGAGTAGAATAACACTGCTTAATTTCTGCTTAGAGCAAAGGAAGAAACTTGTCTGTGAAGGAGATTGAAGTTACCTGCAGATTACTTTATAAAAATTAGAAGTGGACCTCATCTGCGACTTGAGCGATCTGACTCACTCTCAAGACAGTGATCTTCGATGGAAGGGGAAACTTTCTAGATAAACCATATTCATGAATAAATAGTACAGAAACTAGAATACTAGTAGATAGTTATGATCTTACTCACTTTGATTCCATTTTGAGATCACTTGAAACTTATTATGATTATTTTTATTTTTTATTTTTTTAGTTGAAATCTCACTCTGTTGCCTAGGCTGGAGTGCAGTGGCACGCTCATGGTCACCCCAGCATCGACCTGCTGGCCTCAGATGTTCCTTCTGCCTCAACCTTCCAAGTAGCTGGAACTATAGGCACACACTACCATGTCCAGCTAATTTTTTTACTTATTGTAGAGACGAGGTCTCACCAAGTTGCCCAGGCCGGTCTTGAACCCCTGGGTTCAGGCAGTCCTCTCTCCTCAGCCTCCCAAAGTGCTGGGAGTACAGGCTTGAGCCACCACACCCAGCCTGACCATTTTTGTAACACTGGATTTCTGCCAGCTTTTCTTTGTAGAAAATAATGTTTTTGAGAAACAGATATATGATTTGATCTTACTAAGGCTACCCAAGACTTGCAAAATAATAATTTTGGGAAGCTGATAGACCCTGACTTAACCTCTTGTTCTCCCATTGCATCTTGCTAGTAGAATTTGATTAAAAAGGTTGTTCTAAGAGCTAATGCCCTATTTATATAGTTTTCTTCCTTGTTAGAGAACAAAAAAACAGAGATTTGAAGGTTCTTAGTTCTGCTAATGTAATGTAATTCTAAACTTTGTTTTCTCCCCTCTTAGAGAATTTCTCTGCTCCCCCTGATGTCACCACAACTACCTCTTCCTCATCATCATCTTCCTCAATACGCCCAGCCAATATTGACCTGCCCCCCTCGGGGATAGTTAAAGGCATGCACAAAGGATCCAACAGGTCCAGCCTTATGGATACAGCTGATGGTAAGTTCTTTTTGGTAGCTAAATAGGGAGTATGCATTAAACTGAAAAAATTCAAATTATGACTAGTAGCTGGCCCAGCAGCTACAGAATTGCACTGTAGTTGACATGTCATCGGATCATCCTGAGTGTCTTCTTTTCCACAGTCTGCACAGTGACAGCATTGACACTTGATCAGACTTAGTTGGCACTTTTGAAAGATATTTTGAACAAAACACTTGAGTGTAGGAAGAGAAAAGAATAAAGGAAAAGGGAGATTAGGTGAAATCCTTAAACAATGTATTGATAATAACATTCAATTTGTTCTCTATTGTCTTAAAGTTTGTCATGTACATAATTGTACCTGTCTGGCCCAGTTAAAATAGAGTCAGGCTGTGGGCAAAAGTTAAATATCATTGGAAATAAAAACTCCTGCCTGAGCACGGTGGCTTACACCTGTAATCCCAGCACTTTGGAAGGCGAAGGTGAGAGGATTACCTGAGCTCAGGGATTCGAGACCAGCCTGAGTAACATGGTGAGACCTTGTCTCTACAGTAAATAAAAAAATTAGCTGGGCATGGTGGCACACACCTATAGTTCCAGCTACTTGGGAGGCTGAGGCAGAAGGATCACCTGAACCCAGCAGGGTAAGGCTGCAGTAACTGTGAGCATGCCACTGCACTTCAGCCTGGGCAACAGAGTGAGGCTCTAACTTTAAAAAAAAAAAGTAAAGAAAAACTTCTGAGGGAATTGAGGAACTAAAATATCCTCATAATTAATGAATTTTAACTTACCATTTTTCCTTTATAGGTGTTCCTGTCAATAGTAGAGTATCCACAAAAATCCAGCAGCTTCTCAACACTCTGAAACGACCCAAAAGACCTCCCTTAAAGGAATTTTTTGTGGATGACTCTGAAGAAATTGTGGAAGGTAGTAGTAAAAAATTCCAAAACATATATTCATCAAATAAAAAATACTGTGTGTTAGGTGTTATAGAGTTAAAGAATGGACACATATCTCTTGGTTCAAAGAGTTCACGGTTTCCTCTTTTCCCCTAAGGATCATTTATATTTTAGATCTCGAATGAAAGTTAAAGAAGGAGGGGGAAGAAAGGCAAGGAGGTAACTATGAAGCATAGAACTGTCCTTGGAAATATGCTCTTTGAAATTAGGAACTCTCCCAAATACATGAGTTTTTGAGTTCTTATATTTGTCATTTTCCTAGCATGTGGATATCAAATTCAACCTCAAATATTTGCCCACTTTCTTTCATATAACGTAGTCCTTTTATTAAAGTAGTCAGTCAATGCATATATGCCTGCTTTCTAGGCTATGCGGTAGACAGTGAACAAAATTCAAAGATTTATGAAAATGCAGTCACTTCTTTCATGTTTTTTACAGTTTAGACTGATGCTAAAATATACACATGTGAAGACGTCATTTAGCCAATAAGTATATATTAGCTAACATAGGCAGAGAAGGGAAGAAATCAGTTCCATCTGTAGAGCAGCCATCCCTAATAGTCAGTGATCTGTTCATTCAGTACTTCTGCAAATATTTATGGATGAAATCATATGATAGCTGGGATCTCAACTAGGGAAGAGGAGTTGAGATAAAATGAGAATTACCAGTTGAAAATGATTGAAGCTAGTTGATGAATTGATCTACCTAGCAAAAGTTTTTGTCAAAAGAACTAATAAGCCTTGTAACTCTATAGTCCGTTTTTATGTCCTGGGATTAGTAGTAGACTTGATTACATCAACCTGTTAATGGAATTAGGCGCATTGGGAGATTACATCTGATCTTATCCCAATCTGTGCAGCAGAAAGCAAAAAAGAACCTGACATATGAGGTGAAGATGAGTTTCTGTTGCTTTAGGAGGCACTAAACTCTGAACTGTGAGCATCTGTCTTGATGCACTGATGTTCAAGATACTTGTGCCATTAATAGCCTCTTTAGTGTTTCTAGCATTGTGTATTGACCAATGTGTATTGACCATTGTGTATTGAAGATCAAGGGCTAACAGGTATCTCACTTGAACTAATTGCATTTGCAGAATAGAGCTAACAGTTTTCCAGTAATTATAGATAGGCAGCAGTTGCTTATTTGAATAATTGTTACCTTTGGAAAAGAAAAATAACCAGTATACCTTTGGAAATCTGAAAGAGCATGCCCTGGAGTCTGCCATAAGGCCTAATGGGCAATGGCAGTAACGTAGACCTTTATAGCCAGAAACGATGCCTACCATATGTGTGGTCTGTCCATAAGGATAAAGTACACCAGGCTCAGTGGCTCAGCCTGTAATCCTGTGCTTTGGGAGGCTGAGGTGAGTGGATTGCCTGAGCCCGTGGGTTCGAGACCCGTCTGGGCAACTTGGTGAGACCTCATCTCTACAATAAATCAAAAAATCAGCCGGGCGTGGTAGTGCATGCCTGTAATTCTGGCTACTCGGAAGGCTGAGGCGGAAGGATCACTGGAGCCCAGCAGGTCAAGGCTGCAGTGGCCGGAAGAGGCCACTGCACTCTAGTCTGGGTGACAGAGTGAGACTCCAATTCAAAAAAAAAAAAAAGAATAAAGCATTTTATTTACAACCACCCATGTTTTCTTTTTGGTTATTCTGGTGATTTAGATTCTGGAAATACACAACAGAAGGGCAGCTGAAGTATTATTTATCACAGGCAGCAAATTGTGGAATTAACCTGTGTTGTGATTTTTATGTTATTGTGAATTTGGAAAACTTTCAGTAAGTTTCCCAAATCTGTCATTGTACTGAGCTATAAAACCTAACTTATTGCATATCAGTTGCCTGTCTAACATTTGTTGCTCATCTTTCCCTTCTCCCTTCTGGGCCTCTTTTTTCAGATCTCATTCACCTGGCTAATTCCTACTCATCCTTTAAGTCTCAGCTCAGACAGTTCCTCCTCCAGGTGGATGACATGCCCCACTGCCTGCCCTGTACATGTGTGTGTCATGCACTGCTCACATTATTCTATCCTCCGATCTGAGTCTGTGTATGCGTGTGTCCCCCGGTCCCCCCCTCACAAGACTCTGCGAGAGCTCAGACTGTGCATTCCTTGCACCAAGCACTTCTTAGGCACAATCAATGTTTGTTTGAAGAGTAATATGTGCAGCATTAATTTTTTTAATGTCGGTCACATCCTGTGCACATAATTGGCACTCGGTAAATACTTAACTCTTTGTTCCATGTGTAAATTACCTTTCCTGCTATGAAAATGTAGAACTTTTTTGCTTTTATTATTTGAATGACATTTGTTAATTATAGAAAAATTAAGAGGACTTTAGTTTTATCTGTATGAAAGAATGTGAGATATTACTTCTGATTCCTGGAGTGACCATTAGTCACAGTCTTTGTAGGGGGAAACTTGTTTGGTAAAAGAAGTCGTTGAGGATCTTCAGTGCTCTGATAAGGGCAGGCTGCCCCATATTGCGGGAGCACTAAGGAAGGAACAGTTGGGGATGGTTACCAGAGAATGTGCTGTTTGAGCTGCTGAGTCTTGAGAAGGATGAGCAAAAATTCACCAGAAGGCAAGGGACTGGCCACACAAGATATGCGCCAAGGTGTGGAGACATGGAACACTGTGGTTTATGCCCATTATCTCTTGAAGGGAATGATGGCCCCAAGGTGTAACTGTCACCATGCCCATTTTACAGATGGGGAAAGGAAGGAGCAGATAAATCAATTTGCCTAAAGTAATACTAGTAAAAGGTGAATTTAAACTTGTGTTTTCTGACTCACAATGTAATATTTTTTTGTTAAACATAACCTGACTGTCTAACATTGGACACAAACTGTGAAGATTTAAAAACAAGTTTACTGCCGGGCTCGGTGGCTCAGCCTGTAATCCCGTGCCTTTGGGAGGCTGAGGTGAGTGGATTGCCTGAGCCTGCGGGTTCGAGACCCGCCTGGGCAACTTGGCGAGACCTCATCTCTACAATAAATCAAAAAATCAGCCGGGCGTGGTAGCACGCTCCTGTAGTTCTAGCTACTTGGAAGGCTGAGGCGGAAGGATCGCCGGAGCCCAGCAGGTCAAGGCTGCGGTGGCCGGGAGCAGCCACTGCACTCCAGTCTGGGCGACAGTGAGACTCCAACTCAAAAAAATTAAAAATAAAAATAAAAACAAGTTTACTAAAAGTTATGAAGGAAATTTATACTTTGTGCTCTTTTGTATGTGCATTGATTTGCTTTCTCAGGGTCAGGATTTGTTGTGTAAAACATACTGAATATGAGCTGGGTGCGGTGACTCACACCAGTAATCCCAGCACTTTGAGAGTCTGAGACAAGAGGATTGTCTGAGCCCACAGGTTCAAGACCAGCCCGGGCAACTTGGTGAGGCCTCACCTGTACAATAAATCAAAAAATTAGCTGGGCGTGGTGGTGCATGCCTGTGGTTCCAGCTACTTGGAAGGCTGAGGTGGAAGGATCGCCTGAGCCCAGCAGGTTGAGGCTGCAGTGACTGTGAGCATGCCACTGCACTCCAGCCTGGGTGACAGTGAGACTCCAACTCAAAAAAAAAAAAGAGAAAAAAATACGATTTCACGTTTAAGTGGAAAATTAAACCGCAGCCCAGTTTGTGGATTACCATTTCTAACCACGTCCTTTCTTAATGTGAGTTGAAGCCATTTAAGTGTGAAGAGAAGAGGGAGATGTGTTTGCACTTAGGGACCTGAGCTGTGCTGGTTTTGACTTGTACTTATTTCACCCGCTGGGGTTCTCTTGGTACAGTACCTCAGCCAGACCCCAACCAGCCCAAGCCCGAGGGACGGCAGGTGACGCCTGTGAAGGGCGAGCCTTTAGGGGTCATCTGCAACTGGCCTCCTGCCCTAGAATCTGCCCTGCAGCGCTGGGGCACCACTCAAGCAAAATGCTCCTGTCTGACTGCGCTGGACGTGACAGGGAAGCCGGTCTACACACTCACATATGGTGAGTTGGCAAGAGTCCAGGTCCTTTTCTGTCCTCCTAAGAGTTCTTCAAAATATCATAGGTAGTGTTTTTATCTTGATATTTAGTGGTTGCCGGTCATTATGATTAAGTAGATTTTTTGCAGTAATTTAATAGGATCCTAAGTTCTAAGTAAAGTTATTGGTAAATATTTTCATTTCCTAAAGGGACATTTGCAAGCCAACTAATATTTAAAATACAGCAAAATAAAGAATGAGAGACTTGTAGACCCACGGATGTTTTAATATTAGAATAGGATTTTAGAAAAACATTTAGTCACTATTAATGATGTATGGTGAAAAGCAGATGGTTTTGTCTAAAAATTGAAGCATTACTTTTTAGATCTTTACTCCATCTTGCTTCTTGCATATAATAGGCACAAGATTCTGTGATGAACAAAGCAGCAGTACTTTTCCATTTAATTTTGCATCCCAGATAAAGTTGGTATTTTTCTTTTTAAAATAACTTCAAGAAAAACGGGGTCAACCCTGGGCTAAGAGATTTTGTACTAGTTTATTCAGATTCCTTTTCTCTGTTGCAAGTGGAGCACAGTGTCCATAGACCTAGATACAAAATAATCTTTGAGGAAAAATAACTTTTTATTTAAAGAATTATGCAGTTTGACATAGTTTAAACCTTGGATGCCCCTCTGAATAAATTATATGTAAAACTAACATTGCTATTCAAAATAACATGATTTCTCTTTCACTTTTTCATAGTCTAAAACAAGAATTTCTAAGGGTAGTTGAGGGAAGGGGATAGGAAAAGAAAAGGATGTTTTATTCCTTTTCCTACAGAAAGCTGCATGTTACTTTCATCCACGTTACCCTTAAAGCATTCAGCTGACCGGATCTTTGTATGCTTAACATCTATGACTATATCCACATATTTCATACAGATAACTTCCACTTTTGTTGTCTGTTTTCTCTGAATTACAGTGGTATAAAATGTTTAATCATTTGAGTCATACTTTTGCTTTTCAACTACCCCAAGTATCTAATACCACCTGTGTAAGTAGTTCTTCAGAAAAAGCTTAGAACATTTCTGAAGACAGCTATAAAAAAAAACTAGGGCCAAGTGCAGTGGCTCAAGCCTGTAATCCCAGCACTTTGGGAGGCTGAGGTGAGAGGATTGCCCGAGCCCACAGGTTCAAGACCAGATAACTTGGCGAGACCTTATCTCTAAAATAAAATAAAATAAAATAAAATAAATCAACCAGACGTGATAGCACGCACCTGTCGTTCCAGCTACTTGAAAGACTAAGGTGGAAGGATCGCCCAAGCCCAGTAGGTCAAGGCTGCGGTGGCCATGAAAAAAAAAAAAGCTTAGAACAGAAGTAGTCTTCTTATTGTCAGTCTTGTTCTCTCCATTTCTCCCATCAAATTATTTCTGAGGCAATTCAGAGTAATTCGGAAAAGAATTGGAAACGTTCTATAACCAGGATGAGTACCTGGTGATACTTTATTTTTGTTTCAAGGCAGCCCTGGCTTTTGTAAACTAGAATGAATATAGAACTTTCAGGGAGGTGCTTACTGTGTGTTGGAGGTGAGTGATACCCCCTCTGATGCATCATTTGGAAGTGGCCTTTGCCTTATCTGCTGCTGATCTGAATGTTTTCTCATTGAAATTGGCCTGTCGTTTTTCTATGTGAGTATTTCTTTTTCAGGAAAGCTATGGAGCAGAAGTTTAAAGTTGGCCTACACACTGCTTAATAAACTGGGGACCAAAAATGAACCTGTGTTGAAACCTGGAGACAGGGTAATTGGCATTTTGGTTTTTGGGAGGTGGTGTTTATTGTTTTCTAATGTGCACATTCTAGATTTTTAATGTGTAACAGAAAAATGTATATAACTGTTATTTTTGAAAGATAAAAATGGCTTGGTTACCACATAAATGCAATGCCAGATGTCTGGATAATTCTCATATTCATGTATTGAAGGAAATTTGTATGTACTTCTCTGTAGTTGTCAGTCAGTTGTAACTCTTAAGGTGCCAATTAAAAGAAAGAAAAACCTAAGTCTTTTCAGAAATAAATATTTAGATAACTAAAATACAGCAACAAAATTTACTCTTTGATTTTTTTTTTCTTTCTTTACAAGATGCCTCATACAGGGCCTGGCACAGTGGCTCATGCCTGTAATCCCAGCACTTTGGGAGGCTGAGGCAGGAGAATCACTTCTGTCCAGGAGTTCGAGAGTAGCCTGGGCAATATTCTGAGACCCCATCTCTGTAAAAAATAAATTAAAAAAAAAACTTAGTGGACATGGTGGTACATATCAGTAGTTGCAGCTACTTGAGAGGCTGAGGTGGGAGGATCCCTTAAGCCCAGAATTTGAGGCTGCAATGAGCTATGATCATGCCTCTGCACTCCAACCTAGGTGACATAGCCAAGACCCTGTTTCTTTCCTTTTTTTTTTTTTTTTTTAAAAAGCCGGGGGCAGGGGCTCAAGCCTGTGAGCCCAGCACTTTAGGAGGCAGAGGCAAGAGGATTGCCCAGGTCCAAGGGTGAGACCTCGTCTCTACAATAAATCAAAAAATTAGCCATGCGAGGTGGCACGTGCCTGTAGTTCCAGCTACTTGGAAGGCTGAGGTGGAAGGATCACCTAAGCCCAGCAGGTCAAGGCTGCAGTGACCATGAGCATGCCACTGCACTCCAGCCTGGGCAACAGAGTGA